AAATATGAGAATGTCTTGCCTAGTGTTTTATAAAGGAATAAGGTACTGCAGAAGTCCTGAAACATTTCTGAACTGGTGGCATTTTCTTTTCATGTGTAGAATAAAGCATTAGTGGGTGAATTTGCTCCACTACTAAGACGCTAAACCACAGCAGCCAGCATTATATGTATTCTTGGACTAGATGTGACAGAAAACTTAAAAATGGCAGCCACTAGTGTCAGTATTTTGGTACCTTAAATCTCTATGTGGAAGCCCCATTACGAAGAACTAAGACTTCATGACGCAGGCAGGGTGGATGGTTGTGATTTGCTAGTAGCATCTTTATGAGAAACAAAGTTCTGTCCTATAGTGGGTCTTCAGCACAAATTGTCATAACACAAATACAGGTCTTTGCATGGATTACTGTGAATCTGGCTGGAAGTCAACACACATGGCTCGTTTGTGTGATTCTGACAGTTTTTACTTGGCTCTAGGGCTGGGGTGTAATGCTACATCACATCTGTGGCATCCAGTGTCCATTTTTGTTAGGGTTGTCAGTTCATAGTTATATGAAAACAACACCACTGGTCTTTGTTTTAGTAACATAGGAGATGACAAAGCACAGCATGATAAGCTTTTTCTCCAGTATAGTCCATATTTCCGTTTTCATACATGAGTAAACATACTTTTTTTTTAACATGCATGAATAAAGAGCTTTAAGTTTATATGCTATACAAGTTATTGTATAGCCTCCTTTAAAAAAAAGTATAGTGTATAACTTAGTGGTTGCGGTTCACTCACAGAATTGTATAACCATCTATCTCCCTGATCTAACTTCAGCACAGTTTTAACACTCTCCAAAAATATCCTATATATCACTACAGTCAGTCTTCATTTCCCCAAATTCTCACCCTTGCCACATCCTACAGCCACTAATTACTTTTCACCTATATGGATTTGCCCATTCTGGATACTTCATATAAATGGGTTCATACATTATGGAGGCCTTTGTGACTGGCTTCTTTCATTTAACATGTTTTCAGCTACCTTGTAACATGTATTATTTTTATGGCCAAATATTCCATTATAGGAAGGTACCACATTTATCCGAAAGTTTGTGAAAATTTGGGTGCTTTTTACTTTTGGTTATCATAAGCAAAACTATGGTGAACAGTCATGTACAAGTTTTTGTGCAGCCATGTTTTTCACTTCTCTTGGTAAATCTTTAACCATTTGAAGAACTGACTTTATCAAACTGTCTGCACCATTTTACCAGCAGAATATGAGGATTCCAGTTTGCATCCTAATAAACTAGTTTTGGTTTGTCTTTGATTTTCATCAACCTAGAAGACAGTTTATTTTGTTGAAAGAAAAAATTTTTAATCTGTATAAAGTGTTTATAGGTAATAATAAAAGATATTTTCGCTAAAGCTAGAAGCACACTCCAAAGCTTCTCATCTACTATACATGATGTGGTTTTCATCCTATATGGTGTGTATCATGGCTGGTCATATACTTTGGATGTCTAGGTTCTCAGCTTTGGACGAGAGCACCAGAGGCATGTCGTACCCACTCCTCTTACATCAACTTGTGCTGCTTCTGAGCCAGAGAGCCCATCTGCCTCTGCTTCAGTGGCTCTGCTCCTTTGTTCTTAGGGCAGCCCATTGCATTTGCTTTGGCTCCTGTTATCAAAGGTATTGACACAAAGATCCAGGATATACTTACACTGGACTTCCTGGCCTTGTTCCCATAAAATTCTTTGAAGGCATAGGAAAAAGATCTAGTCTCCCTATAAGGCCCCCTCTTCCTTCTCTGAGGTATTTCACTTTAGGTCCTCCCTTTGAATCATTTCACACAGGTTGTGGTTTCTATCTCCCCTTCCAAATTTGGCAGTTGTCTTTGGTCTAAGTTTGTTGACATTCTATTTTTAAACATGCCCCATCAAGTTAAGTGTTATTATATACTTCAGGTGGGAAGAGGGTGTTGACTGGGCCACCTTGAAACTAGGACATTTCACTGGCCTATCAAATGCTTAGTCCCTACTGAACTCAACATGGAACTCAAAACTCTGTTGCCATACCTTTCTCTGTAGATTTTTGTTCTCATTTCTTGAACTGATAATATAGTCACATGGTCCAAATTTTTTTTAATAAACAATGTCCTCTCTGCTTCTATTCCCAGACAGTGTTACCAGTTTCTTATATAATAGAGTTGTGCAATCATCACCACTATTCAGTTTTAGATCACGTTTGTTACCCCAGAAAAGTACTTGCACCCATTTTCAGTAATTTCTCATTGCCAGGCCCAGGCAACCACAAACCTGCCTCTTTTGGACTTTTCATATGAAAGAATCATATATTTTCTTTTCATTTAGCTTATTTTAAGTAATATTTTCAAGGTTTACCCATTTTGTAATACACGTTAATTCATTTTTATTTCTGCATAGTATGCTGTTGTGTGGATTTGTTTTGTATCATACTTTTGGTGTTATAAATGAGTAGTTTTGTTTTCTGCCTAACCAGAGTCACAATTTTCTCATGTTTTAAAAAGTTTTTATTGTTAGTGTGACCTTTTAGTGAATTTTTTGTATTGGTGTGATGTCTATAGTCTATGGTTAGAGATTCAGTTGTCCCAACATCATTCAGATGTCTGTCCTTCATTATCTTTTTGTCCTTTGTTGAAAATCATTTTACTATAAACTTAAGGTTTATTTCCAGACTCTCAGCTCTGTTCCATTGATTGATATATCTGTCTATTTTTACACCAATATTATGTGATTATTGTTGCTTTATAGTAAATTTTGAAATCGGGAACGGTTAAGTTCGTCTTTTGTGATCCTTTGTGTTTCCATGTAACTTTGAGATCAGTTTATAATTTTCTTCAAAAAAAGCTTGCTAGGATTTTGATATTGTGCGCAATCTATAGGTTAATTTGTGAGAAGTTGCCATCCTAACAATTTTGACTCTTACAATTCATGTATGTGGAATATCTCACTTTACTCAAGTATCTATCTGGAAAATCTGTCCATTTTAGTACCTAACATTGTTTCTTTTTTGCAGCTGTAGAGAACGTGTAAGTACAGTGTGCTCCACACCAGTCCTATCTTTATTGTCCTTTCTGTACTTGATTTTTTAACATGGTAATCACATCGTTTTTTATAGTTTACCATCTAAATCATTTGTTCTAACACTTATATAATTTTAGAGATGAAGATTATATTCCCTTTTCTAGTTAGGAAAACTGTCTCAAACAAGTTGTGGCTTGAGAGACAACTGGTAAAGGGAAGATCTAAGAGTAGCTCAGGTCCTTGAACCCTGGACCTAGGGCTTTTCTCCTGCATCAGAGTTGTTACCATTCCTGCACCATAGTGTGCAGACCTTTACACTGTCTCAACTAAACATCTTATTGTTCCCTATTATTAGTATTTGTGATCTTCACAGCCATTCAGGCACACCGCTATGTGCATTATATAGAAATTCTCCCACTTCTCTCCACTTCCCACTTCTCCAAATACTGATAAGTAAAATATTAAGTAAAAGCTCAAGGCCAAGCCCAGTGACTAGAATGCAGTAGTTGCTTTGTTAGCATTTCTTGTCAAATGCAAGATCATGCTTTGTGTTGACAGTAATTGCACAAGGTCAATGTAGCTGGTTATCATCCACCAATGCATATTATCAAGTTATAAATCCATCTTTCAAACATATCACAAGATGTTTTCTCATTTGGTCAAATCTAGCTATGTAGACTACACATACTTTTGGTCTGCCAATCAAGTAACTGTATCTCCTAGGAAAAGTAGGCTAACCCAGGGAGGTTGTTATACCTACCTCCCAGATTTCTGGCTAAAATTTAGTAATTTTTTCTTTGACTTTGAAATGCTTACAAATTATCATATTGGTGGTCAGTTCTAAATTTTACAAGTCACCAGTGTTACATCAAGTAATTTGCAATGCTAATCTTTCTAAAAGTCAGAATATTTACAGTTTCTAAGTGCCTAACATGATTCTATGGCAAGTTTTCCTGGTGGTGCTTGGAATGTTTGTTCAGAAAGCAGACATTGTTCTCTGTGTTACTTGGGCTTTAGATTACCAGATCGGCTTAAGTTAAAAAAAAAAAAATCACTTGGCACTTTTTCAAAATATAGATACCCATATCCCTCCCCTAGAGATTATAATTCATTGTTCTGGGTTATCCCCCTTTCACAATGTTTTTACAGTATGCAAACTAAACTTAAGAAATATTGTTTTATGCTATATTTGTTCAACTGCATTTTAATGATTTGTTTTTATTCTTCACTAACATTTCACCATTATTCTAGCCTTAACTTATCCTTCATTGTTCTGCTTTCCCTCTGTATAACTGAAAAGGCCTTTGGGTTCTTTCATACTTTGTTTTTTTAAAAAACAAAATAATATTCCACTCAGGATTTCTCCTGGGACCTTGCAGCTCTTTGGTGTTTGTGTAAGTGCTTGAGTCTGCTCTAGTTGGAGAGCACTCTTCGCAGATCATCACTTTCTTTGGTTGTCTCCAGACTTCTGTATTGCATCAAAATTATGTGCAGGTATCAGTTGACAATTTCATTCTATAAGTGCATCAGGTTAAGGTTTGGCTAGCATCTTCAGAGTTCGGTTAACTCTGGGGAAATACTTAGCTAAGCCTCTTTTTGTCTTATATAAGTCTTGGCAGCTTGGGCCTTGTCCAACTACAGCAGCACAGCAGCATTATCTTCCCTTTCACAGATGTACGACAGCATGTTAACATTGTTCACAACATTTTTCCAGCTGCATCTCAATTTTAATTCAATTAGAAAGAATTATTGGGGCTGGGGAAATAGCTCAGTAGAATAAGAGCTTACCTGGCAAGTGCAAAGGCCTGAGTTCAATCCCTGTGTCCACCAAAAAAAGAAAAAAAAGCCTTAAAAAAAAATAGAATTATTGAGGACTTGAAGAAGTCTTTTATATACTGTGTATAACTTCACCATTGACTATAGATAACTAAAATAGGTTCTCTGGTTTTTATAGGTGGCACGCCATATTTCTTCTGACTCTATTTCACCTGCCAGTAGCTCCTTGAGTTTGAACTGTACTCTTCGCAGTGAAAAAGATGGGCACAAGTTAAACAAGGGCATACAGGCTGGTAAGTCACTTGAAGTTAAACTTTTCCCAGAAAATAAAAATGTGGCTTCTTAGACATGTTACTCAGCTCAACTCTCTCTCTTGTTTTGTGTATGTTTAGTATAGTGTCTACAGGGTCTCGCTACACAGATCGGACTCTTAGTGATGCTCCTGTTTTCAGCCTCTCAAGTGCTGGGATTACAGGCACATGCTACCACACTTGGTCTCAGTCGCCCTCAGCACATCCCAGGGGTGGGGTTGGCTTAACTCTTTAACAACAACAACAACAAAAAGTGAAGATTAAGACTACTTGTAAATTTAAATGCCACTTTTCACCTATAAATTGACAAAAATCCAATTTTATGAGTAAGATGTATGAAAATAAGTATCCTCAAACATTCTAGTGGGAGTATAAGTTTGTGGTACAACCCTTCTGAAAGGCAGTTTGGCTGTTTCTATCAAAGTTACTTTGACCTGGCATTTTTACTTTTGAAATTTAGCCTATAGATATACTTGGAAATGTGCCAATGGAAAGTATGCAAAATTAACTTTTTTTTTTTTTTTTTTGCTGGCTCAGCCCACCCTGAGGGTGGGGCTGGCGCGTTATGTGGTGCTGGGAATTGAACTGTGGTCCTCTGAGCCTACCTAAGCGTGCCTAAGCAGGCACTTTAGACCACTGAGCTATCTTGCCAGCCCAAAATTAACTATTGAAGTATCTGTTGTTTACAAATAATTAGCAAAAAAAAATTTAAAATCACCTTAGCTATCCATCAGCAATTAGTTAAAGAAATTGTACTTCTGCATAAACAAAATAGTACATAAGACTGAAGAAGCTTTCTCTGTACTAATATTAAAAAGATTTCCAAGATAGACTATTTATCTATTTTGGCGGAACTGGGGATTGAACTCAGGCCCTTCTGCTTGCCAGGCAAGCACTTATTCTACTGAGCCATCTCCCCAGCCCTCAAGATAGACAATTTAAAACAAAAATCAAGACATAGAACAGTGTATACTATGCCACCATTATTTATTTATTTATATTTTAATAAAGGAGGGAAGGGCTGGGGACATAGCTTGACTGTCTTAAGTGCCTGCCTGGCAAGAGGAAAGACCCAAGTTCAATCCCCGGTATCGCATGCCAGGCTGGCTGCCAAAACCAGGCTTGGTGGCTCACACCTGTAATCCCAGCCCCGGGGAGGCTTAGTGAGACAGGAGGATCACTGAGTCTGAGTCTGAGCTGCATAGGGAGACCTTGTGCCAAATAAGTAAATAAAGGAACAAAGAGAATTGCTTGAGGGCATAAAAAATAATTCTCCAGAATGATAAAATTGTGAACAAAGCTAATGTATAATAGGAGGGGAAAGAAAGGTTTCAGTATATGCCTTCCTATATCTTTTGTTTATAAAACAAAAATAAACTTCCTTTTTCACTTGTTTTTCTCTCCCTCAAGTCTTATCTTTAAAACATCAACCTCTTTCTTAGCCAGGTAGCTACCAGAAGTGTTTACTGTCTTAGAATCAGAACTAAAATCTTTTGCTGACTGAATATTTATTCTTCTTTCTCTCTGATAATTAAACTGAGAAATAGAATCCTTCTTTCTCCCTGACTTTCTTCTCTAAAATTCTCTCCACCTCCCTTCCCTTTATTCTTTTTGCTGTTCTCCTACCCTTCACCACCCTCAAAAAAGGCAGCATGTCTTTGAAGAATTAAAAAGGTTTTACCTGCTTGTTTGAATGAACTTGTCAGTGAAGCCTCAAGGATGATCCTAGAGACATCTGTGACCTTTCCCCTCAGGTAATTTGGAGATTGTGACTGGTACCAAAAAGCACACTCGTGATGTTGGAGTGACTTTCCCAACTCCTACTAGCAGTGAGGCCAGATTAGAAGAGGACAGCGATATAACTTCTTGGTCAGAAGAAAAAATTGAAGGGAAGAAGCTCTTTGTTGATTTTCTTGGAGACAAAAAGTTAAGGAAGAACAAGCCAATTTCCTATGAAGGTCAGTTTCTAATTTCAGGTTTTGTAGAAGAAAGTAGTGAATTAAGTCTTTTGCAGTGCTAAAATTTCTTTATTTCTGAATGACTTAAGTATCTAAAACTACATTGACAGAGTCATACCTGCTCTGGGGCCCCTCAGAGCTAAGTCTCCTATAAGTCTACATTATATATGTCTTTGATGAGACCCCCCGATGGAATTATAAAAATGATATAATCTTTTTTCCTCCTTAAAAATAATTCCTATAGGAGTTTCATGGTTTGTTCCTGTGGAAAATGTGAAATCTGGATCTAAGAAGGAAAACTTGCCCAAGATTTATGGCCCTGGCATCTCCTGGTTTGAACCAGTAACCAAAACTAAACCCTGGAGGGAGCCACTACGGGAAAAGAACTGGCAGGAACAATGCATGGATGGTCAGGGATCAGTGGCTGACCGAGGTGGAAATGATGGCCGAGGCCCACCGAGACCATTTGTGAAAGCAACCCTACAGGTATAGTGGCATCAAGTTAACCTTGTCTGTGTATTTAGGTGGCAAAGGGCAAGACAGGAAGAAGTTGTGTCTCTGACTTGGCTTGCCAGGTTTTAGTTGTGTGACCCTCTTTTTTAGCAGCTCTGCAGTTCATGTTTCACTACATGAGGAATTGGTTTCTCATCATTAATCAAATGCTGCCTTGTTTTTAGTGTTCTAAATAATGTGCCACCCTCAGGATCTGGGGACAAGGTAACAATAGAAGGGAGGATATTATGTGGCAAGTTTATGGATACCCATTTCAAGAGGCCTGGGGTTTGTGTAAACATTTTATGTCACCATTTAGGTAATGCCTATTCCTTCTTATGACAAGATTCAAAAGGCATTCTTTTTCTTTTTCTTTTTTTTCTGAGGATTGAACCCAAGGCTGTGCAAGCACTCTACCATTGAATTCCTCCCCAGCCTCACCAACCATCTCTAGCCCTCATCTCCAGCCTTGGAGGCTAAAGGAAGTGTTATTTATTGAAATATTTATCTGAAGAGAAATTTAAAATGCCCCAGTGCCTCTGCTCTGTCCTAGCAACATTCTGGAGAGTTGTAACTTGTCATAGCTTACTTTTTATCTTATTTAGAGGCATTCCTTTGGTCCCTGCTGGAGCTCCCCCCTGCAGAGAAATATCACAGTAGTCCTTAACTATAGATGTGTTCTGAGGATTGGAAATCAGCTCTCCAAAGCTACTGGGTAGGTGTAGTTTTTCTGGGCACTTGGATAGCATCTTGCATCATTAATATTAGATTGGGGTTCTTCTGCTTTAGGAATCACTTCACCTTCACAGACCTGACTTTATCTCCCGCTCTGGGGAGCGGATAAAACGCCTGAAGTTAATAGTCCAGGAGAGGAAGCTGCAGAACATGTTGCAGAGTGAACGGGATGCGCTGTTCAACACTGTGTGTCCCCTTCCCAGGAGAGGTACACCCTCTTGTCACTTTCCTCTTAGTGTCTAGAGAAGACAAGATAGCTGCTTGGCTGGTGAATAACTAACTGCTAACTGAAAACTGAATGTGATTCTGTGCTTACTGAGGCTTAAATCTTAACCTAACAGAAATGGCCCCACTTTTCAGCACTTTCGTGATACAAGTAATTTAGTATTCTTTTTTTTTTTTTTTTTTTGCGGAGCCAGGGATTGAACTCAGGCCCTTGCGCTTGCCAGGGAAGCGCTTATTCTACTGAGCCATCTCCCCAGCCCCCTAATTTAGTATTCTAATCTGATGGCTGCATCTTTAAAAGGAAATGTGTACAGTGATCATGCGATTTATTTTTTAAACCAGATCTTGTGCAGTGTCTGTGAGCAAGTTGGCTACAAAAATAAAATGTTATTTTCCTATAAAGATGTGTCTAGCTCTGGCTTTCCTATCTCATAGGATGGTATTAATAACAGCAATAGTAAATGCTTAGCTCCTACCTCTTGTGCTGTTCACACAGCACCTCTCTAAAATAGATACCAATGATATCCCTATTTCACAGTGAGAAAATGGAGGCAGAGAGAGATAAAGTGCTCTGCCCTAGATTACGGCTTCGCAAGTAAAAGAGCTAAGATTTAAACCCAGGTGGGCTGGCTCCAGAGTCTGTGCACTTAATATTTACACGGAGCCTAAGATCTTAATAAAATAATTTGTGAGATGTGTGAAAACTATGAAGTACTATCTAATGTTGTCAACATAGTCTTACTATTAAGCCAGTTTTTTGCTATATAACTGTTCATTCTGAGCTATAGAATATTGTCGTAGGGGCCATAGATGGCGCTCATGGTCACTCTAGTCCAATGATAGTGAACCTTTCAGATTTTTAAATGATACAAACAGCCTGCCAAGGTGTGCATGGCATAGGTTCGCCACCACTGATGTTGTTTAATCTTGGCTTTGGCTTTGGTCTTAGTCATTGATTATTGCTTACCAACCTGTACCACCAGCTCAAGTTAGAGGCACAAAGTCAAGCTGTTCCTCTTATACCTCTAGAGTGCCACTTCTTTCCTTATGAAGTCACTGTGCACTGAAAACCACTTCTCTTGCTTAGTCTTCCTTGCTGCTGAGAAGAAGAAGCCTATTGGAAAGAAGGAGATGATTCAGAGGTCTAAACGGTAAGGCCAAAGGAACAAGAGTAACTATGAAAGTACAAACCAGACTATGAGGTGGTCAGAAATTCTGGCTTGTCCTCCAGAACAAAGCTGTAGTGCTCACACTGAAATGTTATGAGTGGGGGCCTGCCCATTAGCTCAGTTGTTTAAGTGCCTGCTTAAACAAAGCAGTCAGCCTCAGGGTGCTGTGGTTTGAAACCCAGATACTCAAGCCGATCCAGACCAGCATTGGAGGTAAGTTGTGGAAGTGGCTTCTCACAGCATGAAAACAGAAAAACAGATAACAGATAGAGTATGAATTATTAATGTACAAAGGATTAAAAGATTCCTACTAATTTGCATACATTAGTCAAGGTTGTCTTTATTAAAAACCTAGATACATAGAATACTTTGAAATAACATTATTTATTCAAGGCCATGCCCTCTATCTTAGTAGTCCTATTTGTAGCAGTTTATCCAGTAGAATGAGGAATAATAGTGTTCTCTAAATATTAAGTTTTTTTTAAAATCAGGTTTCAGGAGCATTTTTACAGTGCTGTCGTTTGTGGTCTTGGAAAGAAGCAATTATGGTTATGTAAATATATATATTTTTACATGCAGAGAATATCTCTAAAAGACAAAAACATTCCCTTCTAATAGTGTTTGCCTTTGGGAAAAAGAACTGAGTGGCTGGCGTATAGAGATTCATTGTTCACTTTTTGTGTGTTTTGAATCTCAAACCATTACAAGAACTAGTTATTAATTAATTTGAGATAGCATATGTTGATCATGACCATGCCATGGAAGACTTACAGGTTACATTTTAGGGTTCCTTGGGGGCTTGCTTTAATAAGAAGTCTTACAAAGCACCTGCTTAGGCAGATGTAGGGACCAGGGCAGATGCTGTGCCAGCCCCATCCCCAGGGTGCCCTGAGATGGCAATTAAGATTGGGCATGGTGGCGTGTGCCTATAATCCCAGTGCTTGGGAGGCTGAAAACAGAAGGATCCCTATGAGTCCATTCTGTGTAGTGAGACCCTATACTAAATACATAAAAAATTATTATTTATTTATTTATGTTTTATTTTGCGGTACCGGAGATTGAACTCAGGGCCTTGCGCTTGCCAGGCAAGCACTTATTCTACTGAGCCATCTCCCTGGCCCCCAAAAATTAAAAATTAAAAAAGAATAGTTTTACAGTTGGGTGCTTCTGAAGTAATGGTTCTTAAAAGAATTTATCTCCCTGTGATTGAGGTTTCTCACATGGAATCTTGTTTACCACTGCCTTTTTCATGGAGCATAACTTCTACTTGGTAAGAGTGACTGACAGATAAATTGATTGCTCAGACCTAGGTATATGACAGACATTTTCTTAAAAATGAAGAATTGAATCTGTCACTGCAGAGAAAATAGCTGACAGTATTTGTTCCCAGAGAGAAAATTTGACCTTGCAATAGAGAAAGAAATTCTAGAGATTATCTTTACTACTATTAGCTTGACAGATTTTTAGTATTCAGACTTTTCTGACAGGATCAGCAGTGACATTAACAAACACGATGTTGTTCATTTAAGTCGTCAATTTGTCAACATTTAGAAGATTTGCATAACACTCTGGATCAGGATTTTCTAATGATGTTACAAAATCAGGCATGGATAAATGGTCCATGTAAAATGCAAGATAGACTGATGAGTTTTTATGTGATACTATGAAAAGGTCACAAATCTAATTTCAGATTGTACTTGCAGCTGGTTTTCAAGAAACTACCTCTTGTCAAATTGTCATATATTAGAGAAAATCAGCAGTTATGTTCCCAATTACATGTGTGAGGTGAGATTTTTAAAAAATATTTTAACCAGAGTAATTTATGACAGACTTAATATAGAAGCAGTTACGAATCAAGCTCTCTTCTATTAAACCAGACATTAAGTTTGCAAAACATATGAAACTGTGCCAATCCTCTGACTGAAAGATTTTTGTTTTTTTTTTCTAGAAAATAGATTGTGTTAACATGTTCACAGGCTCATGGTTATTTTTTCAGCTTATTGTTATTTCTAAGTGAATGAATAATTTTTGTCTTGATTTGGTTTCATTTTGTGGTATTGGGCTTTGTACATAATAGACATTCTATCACTGAGCTACCTACCTACCCTCTAAGAACTTAAGTATTTATATTTGATATAACTTGTTTTTTTAAATTCATTCCTTTATTATTCTACATTTATTCAATACCTACTATATTTTTAGGTTGATAACAAGGGCTCTAATAAAGATAGTATATTCATTCATTAAATTAAGGTCTATTTAGAAAATAGAATTATACACAGGCAAGTGCCTTGTGGTATAATGGAGTAATCTAACTAAAGAAGTCAAAGATCTTTTCAAGGAAAATTACAGTACTCTTAAAAAAGAGACCGTAGAAGATTTCAGAAAATGGAAAGATATTCCATGCTCCTGGATAGGAAGAACCAACATTGTGAAGATGGCCATACTCCCAAAATTGCTGTGCAGATTTAATGCAATCCCTATCAGACTACCACCGACATACCTCACAGACCTAGAGAAATCATTCCTAAAATTTATATGGAACCAGAAAAGACCTAGAATAGCAAAGGCAATCCTGGTCAATAAAGACAAGGTAGGAGGCATTACAATTTCAGTCATTCCTGACTTGAAATTATACTACAGGGCTACTGTGATAAAATCAGCATGGTACTGGCAACAAAATAGACCTGAGGATCAATGGAATAGGTTAGAAGACACTGAAGGCCCTAGGAACACACTCAGCCACCTTATCTTTGACAAAAGGGCCAAACATACTCACTGGAAGAAAGATAGCCTTTTTAACAAATGGTGCTGGAAAAACTGGCTCTCTACATGCCAAAAACTCAAACTTGACCCAGGTCTATCACCATGCACTAAACTAAAGTCAAAATGGATTGATGTAACTTGTAATATGGTATTAATAGATAAAATCCACATTGGGAATTCTCAAATTTTAGAGCTGTAAGGAATCGTGAGCCCATATAATTTGAGAACCATTGCTTTATTTTAATTCTGTTATAGAATTTAGTTAAGACAAAAATTATACAGCATTCCTTGTGTAGCTCGCTATACTGTCACTTCCGCAACAGCAGTCCTAGTGTAAGGCACTGTGAGGCTTGCCTGCATGAAGACAGGCAGGGCATCTTATGTAAACTATAGAGGATTTCAGTCATAAATATATTTGGAGAAGGAGGCATTCCCATCTACTGGATGGAAACTCAAAGTTTTAAATGTTTATTATTTTTATTATTCACTCTATGCTATAACCCACTTAAACTGTTCTTTCTTGGAAATTTAATAATTTCCAATCAGCCATATTTGTCACACATGCATTTGGTTGTGTTTCTTCCAACTTCAAATCAGTGGCACCCAATACCAGATAGAATAGAACCTCATTTCTCATGTGACTATATGACCCTCGACACCCCAACTCATTCTCACCCCTCCTGCTTCCCACATGTTACCTTGCATGGTGGCTCATACAGTCCTGGCTTTATTCTTACCAGCACTCACTTTTTCCTGATGTGTCCACCTTTTGTTCTACCTCTTCTTTTTTTCTGCTCTTCACGATCCAGCTCAAGCCTAATTTGTTCTCTGAATTCTTTCATGAACACTTTCTATCAGAATAAGTTTTTCTTCTCCTATAACTCTGTAGCATTTTTTAGATATCACTATTATAGTACTTCTCATTCCAGTCATTTGTTTGTGCTTTAAAATATAGTAGTAATACCTATCTGTTATCTTATATTTAAAGAATACATTTTTCCATATTGAGGGGAAAACAAATTTACCCTCACACCACTTTGTCTTACTCTTTTTCACTGAAGCATCCACTATTAGCAGGATTGTATTATATTTTTACTTATCTCTTCCAGATTGTGAGCACTTCAGGCCGGGGTTCTTTATGTCTAAGTGTCTAACAGCAAGCTGGGCACATTGTAGAGGCGGGGCCTGTCTGAGAGTCTAAGTGCTGTAGAGCTTAGGGAGATGTGGTGAGAAGAGACCACTTACCTCTGTGCCTTGTGACTTCATTGCTTCTGTCTTCCCACTGGTGCCATTTCTAAGGATTTATGAGCAGCTGCCAGAAGTACAGAAAAAAAGAGAAGAAGAGAAGAGGAGATCAGAATATAAGTCCTACCGGCTACGCGCTCAGCTGTATAAAAAGGTCAGTGGAGTTGGTACTGTATATGGAGCAGGATGGATTAGGCTTATCAGGAGAGAGCAATGGAGAGAAAAAGTCTGATCTGTTTGGGCATTCGGTCAGAATGACCCAAGTTTGAAATTCAAAATGCACTGTGCTGGAATTTCAAACTTAAGGCACTTGTTAAGGCACAAGTTTCAAGTCAGGCTGAGTTTCTCTGCCTGAATTGTATACAGCATATGTGGCATTTGCAGTGAAGCCATATTCCTCACGAGGCAACTTAGAGATAATGATGGAAATGCTCAAAACATCAGAATAGTCAGAGCTCCAAAGGTTTTATGCTCCTCATCATTAAGTCAGATACAGAGGAACACATTCTGGAACCAGGATCATGGAAAGATTCAAGTTTGTACCTCTAGAACTACTAAAGTAATCTGGAAATGTCTTAAGTGTGGCCTAAGAGGTGGTGGCACTGGAAGTCAGAGGTTTTAGCCCCAGTGGATCAGTAGTGCTGCAGGTCCAAAAAGCTCACAGCGTAGAGGTTGTGCTACCAGTTCATTCCCTGAGAAACCAGGCTGACCACTGGGCATGCAGGGCCATGTCCTTCATTGTTCTTGTTTCCCTCTCAGCATCTCCCAACACGTCAGAGAACTCTGACAGTCAGAAACTCCAAGACCTGATCATACCAGATGGGGTCGAAGAACTGTCTCTGAAGTGCCCCCCAAAACTCAGGCTGCTTTCTCAGGGGGAGGTCCCTGGCACTGTCCAGCATGTCTAGGGTGTTACTACTCTGTGCTTGCACTGTGGACTAGTCTGTCAGGGTTATAGATTATCTGTACTTATGTGGAAATAGTAAGTGTTGCTTGCGGATCATCTTTCCTAAACTCTAGGATTTTTTTTTTTTTTTTTTTCCTAATTGCCAGTCTGTGTAACTAAGTAACATGAACAAGATTTGGGTGTCTGCAGAAACAGAGCTGGGGTGAGAAGTGGCTGTTTGCCTTTGATAGTCACAGTAGCTGATTTCTTCTTGACTTTCTTTTTTTCCACAGAAAGTGACCAATCAACTCCTGGGGAGAAAAGTGCCCTGGGACTGACATAAGATTATTTTCCTCAAAGCCTTGGAATTTTATTTTTGAACCTGGAAGAATACAGTCTTTATTTTTAATTTATGTGGTTTAATAAAACTTACTTTTTGTCCATGTGTGTCTTAGCAACAGTAATTTCTAGGGCATGGAGCAAAGTGTTGGTCAGAATGACTGATATGTGGAGCAGTCATTTCTCCATAGAGGCTTTGCCTACAGAGTTATAATCTCTTAATTCTAGTTGAGTGACTCCTTTTTTGTATATGCCTTTATACTTTTAGAAAATAACTTTTGATTGACTCATAGTAAAGCAAGCAGTAGAAGGTCATTTCCTTCCCATCTGGCGCAGGGAACTGGATAGTGTGTGCCTTGTCATTTCTGAATGCATCAGTGGATAGAAATGAGCTCTTAGAAAGAAACATGGTCCATCTCTTTAGGAATACAGTGTCATAAGTACTTTTCTCATTGCTAAAGCAAAATACCCAACACCCAGAGTTAAAGGATTTTTCCTTGTAGCTCACAGTTTATAGAGGTTTCATTTCAGAATTGGCTGGTTCCAAATCTGGTAGCAGGGCAGAGGGGCAGCGCAGAGGAAAAACAGTTTGTGTGAGGCAGAAAGTAGCAAAGAAGCAGCACTGACAGCAGCCCTCTTTCAGCCCCTTGTATTTCATCCAGGCTACATGCCCTTACAATAGCTGACACTCTCGCCCAGGGAGGACCTTCCCGTTGTGCACAGCCAGAACTATGCTGGACCAACCAGTGAACTAACGAAGTAATCACACACCCTTGATCCCAGCACCATACACTTAATCCCTGATCATACACTCTAGATCCAGTCACCTCTGAAAAGCCCCACCTATGACCTTGTGAGGATTTCATGGGGAAATCTAGACAAAAGGCATAACACGCAGTGTGGCTGACATGGTAAGTGCTGTGTCACCGGTTCTGTGGGAAGTATCTGCTTAGAATACCTGCCATTTACACCGAGTATCTTGGGACACACAGGTACAGAGCCTCCACTCCCTGGAATTTTAGCCCCAAAGTTGAGAGGGAAGGTGCTGAGCAAGCTCTTCATAGGTTCAGTGAATGCTAGAAGCAAGGGCAGTCATGGCTGGTGGCCTTCACAGAAGCTTCCTGGAAGCCATATCAAAGAACAGGTGCTGCCCCAAAACCATGCCGAGATTTTTGGACCATGCCATCTAAGGACCTACTAAGCAATAAAAGAAGCCAAGAAGAAGCAGAGATGAGCAAGTTAATTAAGTATTTTGGACTACCTATAAATGAGAGGGTTATTCTAAGCTCCCTTTCAGCTCCAGGGCTCTATGACTATTTACACGTTGCTTAGGAGGTTACTATTCAGCAGACAAGGTATAGCTATTTTAAAACTCTGATCTACAAAGGAATCTGGGAGGATGGAGGTAGATTTAAGATTGATGAGCATGTTCCCCTTGAGGCCCAGGGCTGTGTCATCCAGACACCTTCCCAGAGTATTTAGGGTCAGAGACTGAGAAGCCCCAGCTGGCAACTGGCTTCCTGTTCCTCCCCACCAGCCCAAGCCAGAAAGTACCTCAAGAATCCTACTATACTGTGGGTGTTCTGGGGAACCTGGTAACATGTCTTCTAGGTTTTTTTAAATGGGAAACTCACATGCTTGCCTTCAGATGAAAGCAATATTCCTGCAGGCCACCACCCACATCAAGGTATGAAAGGGGGCTTGGGTCTTGCCAAGAGTTTCCCCACCTCCCTGCCTCTCCTATTCATGGAGACCTTTGACTGAGTGCTGCACACAGAATCCAGGTTTCTGCCTCAGACAGGCCTTACCCCCTTCCAGAATCTTCTTACCCCAGGCCTCAGTGTGGTTCCCCCACTGTGCACACAGCCATTTGGGCTGATCACCTGGCAGACCCTTAAAAATCACTGCCTCGTGCTGCCATTCCTGTGGCCATCAGGCTACTGTGCTCCCCTCTACCTGCTCTACACACACATATACCAGGATTATGTTGTAGGACTTCATTTTTTGTTCTTACATGGGTGCTAGAAACCCAGGCCAAGACCAAACATTACTCCTGGTTCAGAGTTAGGTGGGATTCACTCTTTCACAGCTTCTTAGACCTACTTCATCCCTGACCTGAGAATTCCTCTCCTTTTCCTCTGGAAGTTAGACTCCAAGTTGGAGCTCAGCCTGGGCAATTTAGGGACTAGCACTGCCCTCCTCCTTGAGGGTAGCTTCCATTTCTGCCTAACTGAAGAAGACCTTTAGTGACCACAAGCACATGCAGTATAGGGTGAGAGCATTCACAACCTATTTTGTGTGTCCTAACTGATGGTTCTGGCCATTTGTTAGAAAGTAAGGTGAAGCTGAACTGTCAGCATGATTTACATCTTCCCTGTTTGGATCTGGGTTATTTTAACCTAGTTGTATTTTTACCAGCTCTAAAGTCTTATTTGTAGCCCTTTTCCAGTTTCTCACTACTTAGGAACCTTGGGCCCAGGCACACAGGGAAAACCAAATCTTCAGAAATGAAACTTACTTTTCTGTGGCCTCTAGGGGGTGTGCTTGGCACATCTCCACGACTGCCCTTTTCAGCTTTCCAAGATGAAGATCCTCATCTAAGGCAGTATCATGCCTAAGCAAAATGATTTTTCAAGTTTGATCTGGCCACAGTTTAAGGGGATTATAGCCACAAGGGTCTAATTTTTGGTGTGGGGGCAGTACTAGGTGAACGTAGCCAGTGGTGGCAAACCTATGGCACATGTTATTTTTTTTTAACCACTTTTTTTTTTT